AGAATGTTAATACTTAAGAAGTAATTTACAGTTCTATCTTCAACGGACTATTGAAATAAGAATATATTATGTATTTAATGAACTTATATTAACAGTATTATTAAAATTGAACGAGAATTATACAAAAAAAGGAATGATGTGGCTATTCATCCAAAGCTTCTTCAGTTATGGTATTACTATACAAAAAAAAGAGGGATCCGAGATCACGAATCCACAAATCATCTCCTTTTGAAGATATAATGCTACTTTATTTGATGCATTAGATTTCGATCAAACGAAAGGGGCTATGCTGCAAAAAGGAAACGATTTCAGATTCGTAGGGGAGACTTATATTTACAAACATCATTCTCTTTCGTGAAAGCTGAGACATTCTTCATATATTACAACATACAAGGGGTGTTTCGAAAGTTCTGAGAATTGCGATCTGGCTGAATACTGCAGGGGTGAGTTCAGTGGAAGTGAATACTCATGTGTTCAGTTACAGAGAAGTCCTGATAGGTTTCCCCAACGACACTAGTCAATGTCGATCAGAATGACTTAGCCATTTGGCGAATACAGATTTGTTTCTAAGTGTTCAGTTTGCAACTATGGCAGAAGTCGTAAGTTCTCAAAGAGCTATTATTTTCTTAAAAATTAATTGTAAACGAATTGCGCTGGGAATTACTCTCGCCTCCACCTTATTCGCCTGATCAGACACCCAGCAACTATCATCTGTTGCCAACATTGAAAAAACTTCTATGTGATGGACGATTTCAGGATTTAAGTGACTTTGTGGAGAGACTTCCAAAAAGTTTTTTTCAGATGGCCTCAAAAATCTAATTTCGCGCTGGGATAAGTGTATACAGTTAAACAGACATTATATTAAAAAATTACAATGTAATATGGACGAAAATTAATAAAATAAACAATTTATATCACAATTTCCAGAACTTTGGGAACACCGCTTGTGTATACGAGTGTCCTAGATATGTAAAGTGTTTACGAGCTGTTTGCTCCGAAGCTACTAAAATATCGAATTGATGTTTTTTTTTAAACGGAACGGGTAGTACTTGTTTTTATTAGGACAGCTGGTACCCAATATTACAACACCTATTTGAAACATTTTTTTATATTCCGCATATTTTTCGATTGTTTCACGTGTCGATTTCATTCAGTTGATTCTATTTCATTCAGAAATTCAACTAGATCATTGATAGATCCTGCGTATCAACTGGGAATCGACTGTTTTAAGTAGTTTGACCTATCGGGTCAGACGTATTTCTTCTTAAAATTAGTTTGGCGTGTAGAATCCACCCTCTGGAAGTGTCCCCCATTTTTATTAACACCCTGTATATTATAGAGACATAAAATTACTCATTGGTAAACTGTGAATCTTTATACAACTATAGATCCTTCTTGTCCATTTAAATACAAAAACCGGCATTAAATAGAAATTCCTTTACCCTATTAAGAATTCTATCAGGCCCGAAATATGTGTAACGAAAACCTCATCAAACTTCATTCAATATTTTTGTACATTCAGGTTTAAACAATCATAGACGCTTGTTCATTTGATTCATCAATTGACAGCGATTTACCTTTTACTGGGCGATATTAAGCACCTTCACCCTACTTTAAAGAGGTTTTCTTTCAATCTTCCTAAGGAAAATTCCCACAACTCAGACCCTGATTTTCACAAAAAATTTCATTTTTTAATCTCAAATTTGGTCGTTTCTGTTGTTTATAATCCTCCAAAGTATAATTTCTATAGCGTTAGAGTTATTCGCTGCGTAATTCTCAAACTTTCCTTCGCCCGTAAACACGGAAGAGATATTCGGGAGAGCAACCACACATTTCACGGGGAAAAACGGTCGTGATCATAATTAAGATCCCTGTCGTCGTCGTCCGACGCAGTCGTGTGTACGCGAATTCGTCATAAATTCCGATTTCCCGGCCATTCCTTTCTGTCGAGCGGCCCGCCAATTTAGATTTTTCTTCGGTCATCGTTCGGCGGTCCGGCGTGGCGAAGAAACGAAATAAGGGGGAAAATAAGCTGGAGATTTTTACGAATACATACACGATTTATCTTCGCCGCTCCTCCTCTCTTTGACACGATCACTTTCTTCTCGCCGCCTCACGCCCCCTCGACGACGCACGAACGGAACGCGTGTCACGCTGATGCGTAAAAAAAATGAGCTAAATTTATGGTCTTTTGATATTAGCAGATGGTAAAACGTAAACGAAAGAGAGAAAAAAACGGAAAGGACACTACGTTCTTCCGCGTTCTCGCTGACTTACGAGCTGCAAAATGATTCAGAGTGTTATCACAGCGTATTAAAAGATCAAGAAAACAGTGTCGGGTCTCGTTTGGTGAGCTTCTTGTCAGGCCGGTTTCGACCGTTTACAGTATTTATGCCGGTTGTTTCGGAAATTTATAATACTGGAAAAATTGTTAACGTACTTCTTTTAGTAAACCTTATCCTTTACAGAACACCTTAGAAAGCTTTTATTTGTCTTTGTCAGTCTCCAATATCTGTTCTGTTTTCTGTATTTTCTTGTTACTCTATCTTCTAGTTACTATATTATTGTCCTTAAACGTAGCCTATGTACATAAAAGGCTTGGGTGACTGACCCATCGACGCCTAGCCCAAACCGGAATATCTAGAAACGTGAAATTTCGACAATAGGTATACTTCTTCTACGATGTAGGCAAAGGATAAGAAAGAACATTTCGAAATACGAACTTCAAAAGAATATAACGGTGGACAAATTTTTTTTTAAAGAATACCAATATCCCACGTGTTGGTAAAGTTGGAGGCGTGACGTTGGGACTATAAACGCCTTATTAAAAATAAACAAACACGTGTTTGAGTGTTTTTCGAACCACAACCCTTACAGGGGTGAGAAAGGGGTAAATTGTTTTTTTATAAAATAATCGTATCTCTCATTCCACTAAAGCTGTAGATATTTAAAACTCAATTTAAGAATGCATCAAAAAAGAATAAGGGCGAGCATGGACAAAAGTAACGGCGTAATGAAAGTAACACACCTTCTCCCCCTTCCACAAACGTTTCTAGAACATTTCTTTTTAAACCAAATATGTAGACACTATCAAAAAAGCATTTGAAGCTAGTTATGTTCCCTATCTTTCGTTATTTAAAATATATTTCTTTTTATCGTTACTTAAAATATGTTTATTTAAATGTTTCCTTCTGTCGTTTCTTGTAATAAGAAATGATATTTTGCATTGAAAAAAGTGTTTTTCTTTCATTCTTCTCAAAATAAGTAGTGTTACTTTCGTCCTGATACTACAGGATGACAGTAACAATGACAGTTATTGCGGAAAGCTGCCATAGCTCTTTGATTATTTATCAGTAGACTGCGGATTTTATGCATTTATAGCATACAGAACTGTGTAAAATACAGCAAAGAACAAAAATTCGATAGGGATGAATGAATTTTTTATTTTATTTTTACTGCTAACATATTCTTGAGAGAAGAAAGAATTTTTTATTTTTACTCCTCTCTTTATAAATCACTTCGTAAAATGGCACTGCATAAAAATCCGCAGTTTACGTATCAGATAAGGCTAAATTCTGGGTCGAACGATAGATCAATAAACATACTTTCTTGAGGCATTATTGTCTTTCTTATATCGTTAAAAGGTAATTGGCAGCTAAGCCAAATGTAAGAAATGTTACTTTTGTCCCCGCTCTCCCCTGTTAGAAGCGATCGCGAGCATAACCGCGGGAAACAACCAGTAAAATCGTATAACAATTGTATTATAAAACAGACACGAGGTTAAGGAATTTTTGTGCACTATTGCATGATTATTTCTGCCTATGTATATTCTGCCCCTGTATTTCCGTCTGAATGAAATATTTCTCTATTATACTCGTTTCTAAAGCAAATTTCGTTCAAAGCATTCGTCGCTCAAAGAAGCTTCCAATCCATTTCGAATCGAATTAAAAAACAGACACAGACGTACAAACCCATTCCCTGATATTCAATTTCGAAATTGTACTGGCTGCCTATAAGAAATAATAACTCTGACTGAGAAATAAAAACTAAATAAATGCACGCCCCTGAAAATGGACCAAACGATCCTCGTCCAAAGGGATTCTCTGAAAAGCATCTCATCCTCGCGGGTGCTCGCCCATTCCCTTTCAATTTTCGAGTGTAGGCACACGCCACGTGACGATCGCAACGGAAACATGAGGGACAGACAACAAGAAACGGGTGGTCACTTTCACCGAGTTATCGCGTATCCGGCGATTCGGGTGCTGGAAGGGGGATGAGCTTTCGATGGGCAGGGGGGTGGGGGTGAGCAGTTACGCTTGCGCAGCCATACGCACTTAGCGGGGGGCTAGAACGACGTGCAACAAACCATGCGAGAGCTTCAGTATTCTCCAGGGTCTCGTCGAACGGAAACCGACGCTTTCGTACCGTCGATTCGTGGGAAAAAAACGTCTTCGTCACAATTCTTCCGCGACGCAACGCGCCAGAAGACACGCAATTCGACGATTTTTATTCCTTTTCTTTGTTTTCGACGTGATGAGAACGAAAACAATTCGATTGTATGCCAATCGCTGGACAGAATAAGAAGAGTCTTCTGGGTGCGAAGTAATCCTCGATCCACGTGCCTACGATCGCGTGACTCCGTGATCATTTCGTGTTCCTCGATGTTTCGACCGGAATCTTGAACCCTTGAACCTTGAAGCTTCTAATGGACCGTTGAAAGAATAAAATAATCCCAATACGGTGGTGTACATTAATTAACATTCGCGGCCTAGGTGTTCGATTCGTAGAAATATTCCGTCGTGGTTGATTTGAATCGACGAGGGGAAGGATTTGGTTCGAGAGAAAAATTTTTCAGGAATTTTGTTGAATATTTTGTGGTGAATCACGACGCGTTCGAATGGGTCACCGTGACGACGTGTGTCCGGGGAAGTTGACGCGTGAGAAGCAGTCGCGCGATTGAAGCGATTTCTCGCGAGAGCGTTCACGCGGTGTTATATCGCATGGAAACGTCCGCGGTGTCGAAACACCATGAAGCCGTGCAGAAAAATTCCACGGAGATTGTCGATCGGGTTTCGGTGAACAGCTGCCCACCGAGCAATTTTCCGGACAAGTTTCAAGACTTTTTCGCTGCACTGAACGAGGACACGGACGATCTACCAAGCATGCTCGAGGATAAGTTGATACCCAGGTGAATAGAATTGTATTTGTTATTGGTAGACCGTGGATGTTTATGCAGTTTGGAGCTTTGTTTCGATTAATTTAGAGGAATTGGTATTAAGGCCTTAGGGGCCAGCTCTGTATTATTATGTTTGTTGCGTATGATAATACCGACAACCCCAGTTTCGTAATAATTACATTCGAAAACATATAACCGTCTCTTCTGAACTACTCGCGTATTTTATTTATATTGTTCGATTGTTTTTATGAGAATTTCTTTGGTTTTCTTCATTTTTTTCTATATAAGAAATTTTGTTATATATATTTTTATAGAACGGTCTCTTTTAATATTGAAATTGTAAATGTAGGACCCACTATAAATATTATTATATTTAATCCGTACGATGTTCCTTTAGTAGATGCTATTATTTTAATTTCTTCAGGATTAGCAGTCACATGAATTCAATTAGATTCATTACTGCTTACCATATTATTAGGAATATATTTTTCAATATTTCAATATATAGAATATGTAGAAATGTTTAAGCTGGATTTTATGTGCATATTTTCTTATATTCAATGTTTATATATTATGGTTAAAATAAAGACGAACCAAGTATGAAATAATGTTACTTTAGAAAAGGATAGATTATATTCCCTTAGAAAAAACAAGTTGGTTCATTTTTATTTTGACCACAGTACATAAGGATTAAACATTTTAGGGCAGTTTTATAGTTATGTCACGCCGTGTGTAGAAACTATAAGTTTTTTTTGTAAACTAGTATTTTATCCAAGTTTATGAACATCTAATCTATATAATAAAAGAATGATATAACAGAACGCGGTATTTTTTGGCAGTTTTCCGGAAGTTTAACAGGCCCTTAAGGGATTAACCCTTTCTGCTCGTGTGGTTTCAGTTGGAATCGTTAACTTACTTACAAAGAGTGTATTTTAGGTGTTCGCCTCCGATTGCTTTGGTTTTTGGATATGTTTTAGAGGACCGAAAAATAAGAGATACGTATTTTTTTATAGCGGCCCGTTTTCATATTTAGGGGGTGAAACCACCCCTCAAAGTTTCGACCCGGAAGTACTATCTCGAAAACCAGAGGAGATACATGAAAACTTTCAATTGGCGGCTTTCATGGTTTTTTATGTACAATAAACTGGTGTTAACAAATTGTCAAAAATACAATTTGTTTATAACAAAAAAATTTGTTATAACTTTATTTTACAACTTATTGAAATTTGCGTAATGACATAAAATGACGAGCACTTAATTTCAAATCCATTAACACCAGTTTATTGTACATAAAAAACCATGAAAGCCGCCAATTGAAAGTTTTCATGTATCTCCTCTGGTTTTCGAGATAGTACTTCCGGGTCGAAACTTTGAGGGGTGGTTTCACCCCGTAAATATGAAAACGGGCCGCTATAAAAAAATACGTATCTCTTATTTTTCGGTCCTCTAAAACATATCCGAAAACCAAAGCAATCGGAGGCGGACACCTAAAATACACTCCTTGTTAGTATTTGTAACTGACACTATTTGCCCGAAGATTCCATGTGGGATAATTAATTAATTAATTATAGGGCATAATAAATGTAATAAATTCGAGGCAAAATGCATTAAAAAGAAATTTGTTTACTGTATTAAATGTTCTATTAGATTGAAAATGAAACTAGAACCTCGTTGAATTTTATCGACCATTTTGTTGTTCTGTCATTTGTCTTCTATAAATGCATAAAATCTGCACCATAGTTATTGGATTATGATTGTTTTTTATACCGCAATTAGAAAAAACGATGGTTTTAGGAAAATTTATATTCTTTATTGGAGCTGATAGACAGATTGCATTTCGTAAACGGGAAATAGAAAATATTTATGTTTTCCTTCAAAGGGCTTTGTTGGTTTTATTGGGAACAGAATAATTTCTTTAAAATTTCATAAAAATTCGTATTTCGTAGGGTTTTGCATATTCATATATATTATAAATGCATAAAATTTGCTGATAACCTTTGTTAAATCTTGCAGTAAAATGATGTATAATGTTAAAAATTCCCTTCAAACTGTCTAAAAACTGATGTACCTAAAGATGAAACAAAATAATTATATTAAAATTCTAAATACAATACATTCATGTACATACACAATTACACTCTTTTCAGACCTTCGAATATTAATATCTTCCTCGACATTATTGTCCGTGTAATCTGTTTACCAATTCAAAATTATAAATTATAAATCTTTATTTGTTAAGTTGATGCTGATTGACGCGTGATATTTCAACCATAATTACAGCGACTCACATATGCATGGACTTCTGAAATAACAATTCGATGTAAAAACTTTTATGCAATTTCAATTTATCCATATATTTCCCATCTCGTTACTTTTATCATCCTCTCGAGATGAACTTTTCGTAATTTTGAGATATAATACGGATTTTGGTAAATAATTTGATCAATTAGAGGTGACAGCCTTCCGTGAACAAACTTGAGTCACTCTATACAGAATATTTAATAAAAAAACATTCGAGTTAAGCTTTATTTACCAAGAAGTACCGATTATTACGATAATTAAAACTCGAAGTAAATTTCCAACGATGGAAAACGCATTTTCCGAGATCGAAAAACAGGATTTCCAATTTCAGCAAGGTGCTTTCTCGATATTTGCAATCCCAACTTAATTACCTTCTCCATCTTTGCCCGTTGTTAATACACGCCGTCAAAACAAAAACAAAGTTAAAAAAGCAGCCGAGCTATTTGTTTCCCGAGCAATTACCCGAGAGCGAAGTTCAAAGCGGTCGCTTTCCCGGTTCCAGATGAACGTTCCGCCGAGGTTTCACTGATAAGAGTACCCGAATACATTGGTGGAACTGATCCAATTAGATTAATCTGATTACGATGTATTGTGCTTCACGTTGCAACCATAAACGATTAGTATATGTAGCATACGATAATTTTGCTATCGCTTTACGCTTGAGAAGCTGTCCTTAGAAATTCAACCAGAACATTGGTCCTCGTCTGGATCAAATCTCTCTGGAAAATCGGATTCCTCCGTAGAATTATATACATACATAACAAGGTAACCCGAAAATACCGATCATTTTGAGACTTTACAGATTTGCAAGGTACCTCAGTAGAACTATGTATCAGCAATTTTTGTTTTCTGCTACTTTTTGGTTCTTCTGAGTGCAAACACCCCCTAAAGGTACATAATGTGTTTTCCTATTTTTTGGTATATCTTGAAAACTGTAGTAGATATAAAAAAAACATGAAAATTTAGTGGGGTTTTATGGTCTATAAAATTGTGCAATGAAATTTTTAAAAATTTATTGTTTATGTAAGTAAATAAATGATTAAAGGAATTTACAACAATTCTATTGGACAGTTTTATAGGGCATGAAAAGCAGTTAACTTTTTCTTGCAACAATCTTTTTGTATCTACTGTAGTATTGAAAATTTACAGGAGAATAGGAAAAGACATATTAACCTAAAGGAGTTTTCACCCTAAAGAACCAAAAAGTAGCAAAGAAAAAAAACAATAATTCCTTGATACTTTTAGACGTCCTCTGCAAATTTGCAAAGTTTCAAAAAAGTCGGAACTTTCAGGTTGTGATATTTCCTTGCGATTGGATAGAAAACCATGAAGCTTCATTAAAACATATACAGACAATATTACTCGATTTTCATTTGTTATGAAGTTATAGCATAAGTAATTACTAGAAGAGTAGCTGATATGTAATTATTTTATTCTTGCTAATAGACACACGCATTAAAACTATTTGTCTTCCATTTACTTTCACTTTATTTTGAAATATTATATCGTAGCAAACATCCAATATGGCCGCCCTTGGTAATGATACATTGCCATACAATGAACATTCCAAATCAACTTCCAGAATATTTTGGATCGACCTAAAGTTTGCTAGTGGATAAGCTTAGCTAAAAGTGTAATATTAAGACAGTGTGTTCTAATTGCCGCAATAATGTTACAGTAGTTATTAATGTTTACTATAAATAAATATTTATTTTCATCGAAGTTACAGGGACAAATAATATTATCTGAAATAAACATGAAATTCGTCCACATTGTTTTTACATTCTTCCTCATTTTGAATCAAAAACAGTCAATTGCACCAATTACATGTAATTAAAACGCGTGAAATTACTTCATAACATGCGAAGATATTTAAAAAAAAAATGTTATACTGCAATTACCTCGATGTTTCGTCGTTTTTTAACGTCATAATCAAATAAATCTTCGATACTGGGCCGACATATACCTCGTTCCCGCTACTGAAATCTTCATCAGAGTGTGTTAGCTCCCTTCTAAGATGAAATTTCAGCTTGATGTCAGTGTCAATTAGTTATCCGCTCGAGTGACGCATGAAGTTTGACCTGAATCGCGGAAAAAGTTATGAAAACATGTTCTAGAGCTTCAAATAATTCACTTTGAATCCTGAGGGAACTGAGTGTACCTACGTATAAAGCACGAAATTTGCATGGACAGAAAAACATTTCCTCGCAGTCATTTCAAAAGCTTCTTATAATAACATTCCTTCTACGCTTCTTCTTGAAACATACAGAAAGTTGGTCGAATGAAGAATACCGTGACTTCTACTTATTCGTAAATAGCAGAAATTGCGACACTAAGAACCATTCGTAAAACAAAAATTTTCGCCGGCTTTTCTGATATTTTCATACATTTGGACTTTGTACTTGTTAACCAAGGAAGACGAGTTAAGTCGTCATTAACATTCGATTATACGTTTCGAAAATTCTCAGTTGTCTTCTCTATTTACCCAAAGATTTTCACACGTGATTGCATTATACATCTATAGCAGCGTAAATTATAATTCATTTTTGCACGAAAATGAAACTTTTCACATCCAACAGATATTCTTCCTATCCTTTGTGATGAACTTTCTCAATATTTCTGTACCGATAGTAAGTAGAAATTTCCAAATAAAATTTCTCTTATGATCAAAACATTCAGGTCCATGACTTTCTTACGTTTTCACCTGTTCA